CCAATTTGTTCTGTGTTAGTGTCCTCTGCACTTGTTATGGGTGGGCTTGGGTTCTGAGATTGCATTTTGCTCCTTCTCGTTGTCCTATTGTGTAGCACTGTCTTCTGACCTTTGTTGTAGATCTGTGGTGCAGTTATAACCTTAGCACCTACTGAAGTTCAGGTGCAGATCTACAAAGTTTGGATTTATGCAGCTGTGCCTGGCTTGGGTCAGGCTCCTGTGCTCAGCTCCTTCCTGCTTCTTCCCTTGGGGGTGAATGTGTTGTGCCCCTCTGGCAAGATGTTCTGCTCCTGGACTAGCTGGGTGGTTCTGTCCCCTATACTCTCTGCAGGGATTGCAGCTGCAGGGTTTCACCTCAGCCCTGTATGCCAGGCCTGAGCTGAGTCTGGAGGGATCAAGGTGGAGTGGAGGGAAGAGGTAGCTCTCCCATACACTCACTGGGCCTGGACTAGGTCTGGATCTGGGGGTTCCCGGAACGTGACAGAAATTCCTACTCTGTGGGCGGGGTACTACAGAGTGATGGGGGTGTGTCCCAAGAGGGTGAAAGGGTGTCACCCACGCTGAACCTGGGCTGGGACCAGTAGGTCACATTGGCACAGGGTAGCCGGAAGCTCTCCCACACACTCACTGGACCTGGGCTAGGACTGGATCTGGGGGTTCCCGAAACGCAGCAGAAATTCCTATGGGGCAGGCAGGGTAGGGGAGGTGCTGTGGAGTGGTGGGGGGCATCCCAAGGGGGTGGGAGAGGGTCTCACCCACGCTGCGCCTGGGCTGGGACCAGTAGGTCACATCGGCGCAGGGTAACCGGAAGCTCTCCCACACACTCACTGGGCCTGCGCTAGGACTCTGTATTAGTTAAGTTTTTTTTCTGTTTTGTTTTGTTTTTACAGAACCAGGGATTGAACTCAGGCCCTTACGCTTGCCAGGGAAGCACTTATTCTGCTAAGCCATCTCCCCGGCCCTAGTTAAGTTTTTAATGTATATCTTTATCCATTTTTAAATACCTACTTCTGGTTCCAAATTTGCTAAGGCATTAACATCAAAATTTATCACAAAATTTGAATTACACAAAACTAATCAATAAAATTCCAAAACCTTTAAAACAGCAAAATAGAAAATTTAGTGACATTTAAAAAAAAAAGGAAAGAAAATTTAGTTACAAATAGCATTTTTCGTCTTCATAGCCACCTGCAAGGTGGTAAGAAACAGAAAATTCTGGTAAACTGTAGAGTTATAAAACTTCCTAATTTTTTCAAATGTTCTCATTCCACCACAAGCACAAGAAGATGCTACTCTGTGATTTTGTATTTCATGAAGTTTACCTTCTTGGTGTTCCACGGTTACAAAAGTTCTTCTATCTGAAATAAAATCTAGATGCTGAACCAGAAAGCTTAACTCCAGTTGGATATCAAAATCAATTTCAAGAATTCCAACTTCTAACATGTATTTGCCAAAATATGATACTATTCACTGAACAACTTTAAGCTGATTCTTTCTAAGAAAATAACTTGAGAGGCTGGGGAGATGGCTCAGCAGAATAAGCACTTCCCTGGCAAGTGCAAGGGCCTCAGTTCAATCCCCAGTTCTGCAAAAATAAATAAATAAATAAAGTAAAACTTTATCACTCATTTTTTTCAATCTTGAATTTCAAAACAATGTACTACACTTGATCTTTAACCAAAAGGCTAAGAAGCACACATATAGAATACTTTGAGGTCCAGGGAGATAGCTCAGTAGAATAAGGGCCTGCCTGGCAAGCACAGGGTCCTGAGTTCAATCCCTAATACTAAAAAATAAATAAACAAACTCTAAAAATCTTGAGGCTACAACAAGTTTACAACAGCAACACAAATGAACCTTTCTGATTTTGGTCTTTTTTCTTCTCTGATTTTAGTCTAAAAACCTATTTGGGTGGAGACATCTGTTCCTAGGTCTTATTACATCGTTTAAGATCTGCCATTCTTGGCTGCCTTATAAGCTGAATTGCTATATAAGGAAGCTACTTCAAAAAACGTTTTTCAGAATGTAGATAGATACTAATACAGCTTAGCACAATTTCCACACTAACAAATTTGTGAATTCTCTTACTAGCATGAATTCTTTGCTGATTAATAGTTTTCTCAAGTTCTCTTCTCAGTCTGACTTCTGCCCCATACTTTCCAACAGTGCCATCATCCACCAATATGAAATGAGAATGGAGATTATTGAGCACATTCAATTTGCTCAGGGGATTCAGTAAGGTTTGATAAGGAGCAACCACCTAAAATAATAACAAACATAAGAGTCAGTGGGCAGCATTAAATATAACATAGTGTAAAATAAGTGTTTGAAACCAAATGAAGTAACATTCTATTTCACATCGAGAACTAAACAGAAAACAACCAAGAATATACCAAAAAGCACAAATTTTTAAGATTGGAGATTAAACAATATGGGCTGAATTGCATAATTTACCTTGATCCTTACTGAAGAATTCTACATTTTATCATCACATGCAAAAGGAAAATCAGTAAAAAAATAAATCCACAGTGCTAAGAAGCTAAAGCAAATATACTACAATATGTAAAGGACAATTTTTAAAAAGCAATGTCATATTGTTATTTTGGGGGCCATAAGATGCTAGCATCTTTAAAATTGGTATTAGAAATTTAATGCCAGCTGAAATTAAAATAAGCAATTAATTCCTTTTAATTGTCTCTTGATAAATATAAATCCTTATATTTTACCACTCATACACTAGCATTTGATGTTTACATTTAGTAACAACATTCTAATGATTGAACATCAGAAATTATTAATTATAAAGACAAACATGTTGGGGCTGGGGAGATGGCTCAGTGGAATAAGTGCTTTCCTGGCAAGTACAAGGGCCCGAGTTTAATCCCTGGTTTCGCAAAAAAAAGACAAACACGTTAAGTACTAAGTACTATACATAAAAAAACCCAAGATGTACCAACGCTATAATAACAATCATTTATCTAGGAAGGTGTTTTAAAAGGATTAGAGGAAAACTTGACAAGAATGGCACTTTTCTTGTTTTAATTTTATTTACACATGAGTTGAAATATAAGCTGTCTTAAAAGCCATTCTTACATCTCTCCCAACAAGATCGTTTCTGTTTTCAATCACTCCCCATGGAGCTATTCCAATCGTGCAGATCTTGCGAGATGATCTGGAAGCATGTTCTTTGAGGGCATCGCCAACATGTTTCGCCACACCTGCTTATGCAAAAGGTTCTTTTAGTTCAAACTCTTTTAGGTATTCAGAACAATCCTCTTCTTACTGTGTAATAGTGCAATTTGTGATGTTTCTTACACACTCAAGGCAAGAAATGCAAGCTGATAAAATACACAATGACTAAAAAAGAATACAAAACAAACAAAAGCCCATAGTATTGATGCACCACAAATTTCTGAAACCTACATAAACTACATTTCATCACATTGTTAGGCTTAGTCCTTTCTTGGATTTCTCCTGTAAATGATGGGTTTTCTTGTTGTCATTCTACCTGTCATCTGTAATATATTAAGAATATGATTCAGGAGAACAGACTATCAGCAAACAAATACCCAACAAGCAACTAGAAAAAGTTGTCCAAGTGAATCAAAACTGGGGAAGAGTAGAAAAGACAATTCCCAGGAACATATGCAACCATTCCCTTTATCTGTGAGGGGCCTGTCCCAAAAACCCTAAGAGTACAAAGCCTTGTATAGGGGCTGGTGAGATGGCTCAATGGTCTAAAGCACCTACTTAGTACAAGCTAAGCTAAGCAAAGCACAGGGACCGCGGTTCAATCCCCCAGCACCACATGCCAGCCAGCCCTGCCCCCTGGTGGGCTGAGCTGGCCACACACACACACACACAAATGTTAAAAAAAACAAAAAAACAAAAAAACAAAAACAAAGCCTTGTATACCAGCATTGCAATTCTGTAACAGTGGATCTAACAGTCAACCTGACAACCAAGGCGGCCAGTAATTGACTAATGGGCAGTGGTACACATAGAGTGGGTGTGCTGGATACAGGTACAATTCAATCCCAAGAAAGAGGAACAGAAGTGATATGAGATTTCATCATGCTACTCAAAGCAGCATAATATATAACTTTTAATTTTTTTTTTTCCTGGAATTTTCCATTTCATATTTTCAGACCATGGTTAACTGAGACTAAATGAAAATGTAAGCAGGCACTACTGTAAATTTTCATTATCATTTATTATGGGCTGAACTGTGGCCCCCAAAATTCGTATGTCAAAACTTAAACCACTAATACCTCAAAATATCTATTTAGGAACAAGGCCCTTGAAGAGATGACTGAATTCAAATGAGACCTTTAGGATGGGCCCTAATCCAATCTGACTGGTGGACTTGTAAGAAGAATCAAATACAAAACACCCTGCAGATGCAAACAGAGACTGCAAGAAGGTGGCCACCTGCAAGCCGCGAGAGAGGCCTCAGGAGAAGTCAAACCTGCTGACACTTTAACACCAGACCATCTAGCTTGTAAAGCTATGAGAAGATAAAAAAATCCATTATTTCAACCAATGTGTAGGATTTTGTTATGTCATCCCCAGCAAATTAATATCACTCAATTTGTTTTCTATAAGAGATAAGATCTCAATCCTCACCTAGAGGATTTCAACGTCCAACACAGTGAGCCCAAGGAAGGGCCAGCATGGCATGCAGTACTGGGCATCGACATGTGGTACTGGAAATGAACCTGGGTCCTTGCACTTGCCAGGTAGGCGCTTGACCACCAAGCTATCTCCCTAGCCCAATAGTATTTTAAATATTAATTTTTGAAAGAAAAACAGTTTAACATTTTTACTGGCTAAGACAATGGGTTGGTCAGTATCTACCAATTTACCAGTAGCAGAGACTGTAAGAAGTAACAAAATGCTCTATGCTATGGCCAGCAAATGATTCTGTAGATGGCCAAACATAGAGATTTTAGGTTTTGTGTGGCATCTGCTAATCTGTCACACTATTCAGCTGTTACTGCAACACAAAAATAGCTATAAATCACTCATGAACAAATGAGTGTGATTGTACACAAACAAACTTTATTCACAAAACAAGAGCAAGGCTGCAGTTGGCCAATTCTAGCTCTCAGGTGCATTGTTTTCTAGGCTTAATGACAATCATTCGAATTCAGTTTATCTAAGAATTATACATTATTTAATAGGCAAACCGAATTCAGCATTGACTAGTGTTTTAAATATCACATTAAAATTATTTCTAGTATACTAAAGAGAACTAATATAATATTACCTGTGTTTACTCCCCCAGTCAAAATCCAGGCTCCAGTTGTAACTGCAGCTTTAATAAGACCCTTCCCAAGCAACTGTTTGATTCGAGGGTGAAGTTCAAATTTCTGCATTCCTCCATGTACAGAGATAACAAGTTTTGGTAATTCCATCTGCCATTCTTTAAGCAGAAGTTGCAGGATGATTTCAGGCTTAGTGTCGTATGATAGCCTCACATACTAAAATAAAAAATATTTTAAAAGCACAAATCAACTGAAATTTGCTCACAGGTTTCATAACACAACATTATCTTACTTTAGGAAAATATATACTTCAATCAGATTATGTAAGAACAAATCTCATAAGCTCTTTTCAATATATCTGCACTCCTAGGAATAAATAACTATAGTTGACTTTTTATTTTTTAGAGACAGGGTCTCGCTATGTAGCTCAGATGGCCTCAAACTCTCAGAAATCCTCCTGCCTCAGCCTCCTGAGTCCTACACCATCATGTACCACCATGGTCAGTGTATCAAGTGATTTTAAAGTTGGAAAAATCATTCTGTGAGGTCTATAGATGTAGTGCCACTCTCTATAAACACTAAAGCACAAATGTGACTTTGTGTATAACTCAATCACCAATTAACCCAGTTTACAAATTCATCCACAGTATACGAGTGAGAAACATTGAGATCAGTTAAAATGACAGAAGAAAAGAGAAGAACTGTGAGGGGGGAAAAAAATGGAAGTGTCTAAGACTTGCCAGAGAAATAAATACATTTTCTGTTTGAAAGTTATGCCAATGATCCAGACCATTTACAATAGAATTGTGACTATGCAGTAAAATTTAAAAGGCATTTTAAATATAGATGACTATTTCTTTCACTAGAAATGATGGCACAAGCCAGCAGGAGGATCATTGCTGAGTTCAAGACCAGCCTGGGCTACAAAGTGAGCTCAAGGGGCCGGGGAGATAGCTTAGTAGAATAAGTGCTTGCCTGGCAAGCACAGGGTGCTGAGTTCAATCCCCGGTACTGCAAAAAAAAAAAAAAAGTGAGCTCAAGGCCAGCCTGAACTGCACAGTAAGACCCTGTTTCAAAAAGACAAAATTTTAAAAAAATTTAAAAATCTCAATTGACACTAAATGAAAGGCTGGAGATGTAGCTCAGTGGTACAGTATGTGTACAGTAGGTATAAGTCTCTGGGCTCAATCCCCAGCACCTTAACAATGAACGAAATGGAAAAAACAAAAACAAAAATACAACAATGGTGTTCAGATGAATTCAATAGTTAAGTTTCTAAACAATCATTCTACTAAAAAAGATAGTATGGTAGCACATTCCTATAATCCCAGCACTCCAGCAAGCTCAGAAAGGATGATCACACATTTAAACCCAGATCAGTAACTTAGTGAGGCACTGTCTCAAAATAAAACAAACAAGGGCTAAAAGTACAACTCAACGTAAAACCCTAGGTTTGATTCCTCAACACTACCAAATGTATGAATGGGTAAATGACACGTAAGGCCTATGGAGTTTAACAATAGAGCATGTGCCTGGCATGTACAAAGGCTCTGGGCTCAATCTCCAGTGTCAGACATTTAAAAAAACAAAAAAGGAAACAGGAAATGTGTTATTGCATCTGTGGGGAAAAAAAATTTTTTTTTTTTTGTACTGAGAATTGAACTCAGGACCTTGCAGTTGTTGCTAGGCAGATGTTGTACCATTGAACTATATTATATCTCCAACCAGAAAACAATTTTTGATTCAAAAATATTTCAAATTTTTAAATGACATCACAAAGCAGATTTGATGAATCATTTTAATTCATCTTTTATCTAAAGCGCATATAAAAATGCCTTAAAAAACTTCAAATATTCATATGCTAGCACACAAGACTTTTTTAAAAATATACATTTTTTTAAACCTTCACGTGGTAAAAGTGTCTTGCTACGCAGCTTGGACTAGTAGTGATCCTACTGTCTTAGCCTCCCCAGCACTGGGATTACAGGCATGAGCCACCATGCCTGCTTTTGGAGGCCCACTTAGTGTACCCAGGTTTCCCCCTGGCATGGTATGCAGTACTGGAGACTGGACATGGGTCCCTTGCACTTGCCTGGCAGCCACTTAAGCCACCGAGCTATATCTCCCCAGCCCTGAAGACAGAATTTTAACATTGTATCTAAGAAAAGCTCCTTGCAAAAGTGGTATATTGAGATGAAACACAACAAAGTCTCTGTAACAACAAATGAAGCTAAAGAAACATAATACTCCATAACTGAGCAGGCTTCAGGATCCCTTAATAATATTTTATTTATTTTTTTTTCTACAGTTTTATTGATAAACATATAGCAATGAGACAGTTTCAAATCAAATCGGAAGTACAGTTTCAACAAATAATACACTGCATATATTATTCTTAGTGGTTA